AGAGAGAGAGAGAGAGAGAGAGAGAGGGATAAAAGATATATAGTAGATGATATATGATAGAAGATGAATGGTAGATGATAGAAGATGAATAGATAGAAGATAGATAGATAGATAGATAGATAGATAGATGATAAATAGTAGATAATAAATGATAAGAAGATGAATGGATAGATGATAGAAGATGAATAGAAGATAGATAGATAGATAGATAGATAGATAGATAGATAGATTAGGCAAATAAATAAAAGAGAGATATATGAGTGAAAATTAGGACTCTTGTTGGCAGCATCCATATGTTTAAGTGTGTGTATGGGTATTAATCTGTCTGTTTATGCCTGTATACAGGTGTTTATCTGTATAATTTGGCATTCATTTCTCCAAATGTTCTTGTCTGCCCAAGAGTACCTAGGGGGAAAAAAACCTAATGATTAGATTTATCAAGTGAAGTTTTCCAGCTGCCCCTCTGACTGGAGATAAGTGAGTGCTTGACACAATTTTCTGTTTTTTCAGCAATGGCGGTTTCAATATCCCCACAGCGACAGCACTGGGGTAGGGCTCTCTGTCGGTGTACTGGCGCTGTTGAAACGTCTGGGTCTATGCTGTTATGCTATAAGATAGTTGTAGGTGTGTGTTTGGAGGTGTAAACACCTCAGGTGGCAAATCCATCTGCCATGCTCAGTTTCTGTGTCATTATCGGGTTTCAATAAGCACCACTGGAGCTAGACTCTGGCTTTCCTGGGTCCTGGGGTACAATAGACCCCATAACCACTTTTAGCCTACTTCTCTAACACCTTTGTTATTGCTGTCTGTAGTTTTATTTGCCCAAGTTTTCCAGACTGGATAGTTATAGTTTTCTTTAGTTTTGATAAAAGATAAATTATATACAAAACTTTAGACTCACAAAGATAAGACAGACAATAAAATATTTTCTCTAATTTTGCCAAATACAAATGGATTGGATATTGCTATTGTAATTCTTACTTAATAACTCTTTTGTTGTAAATAATTTTACTATGTTAAGGTTTAAACCTTCCTTTTTAATTAAACAAAAATGGGGAGTTGCTATGAATTAAAATTGTTGTTAATAAAAAAATTAATTGGTCAATAGCAGGGCAAGAAGAGATTGGGCGAGACAGCCTGACGCAAAGAGAAGAATGGGAGGAGGAAGGGCAGAGTCAGAACGTTGCTGGGAGATTCAGAGAGAGTAAGATGGGCACATTGTACAGAGAAAAGGTACCAAGCCATGTAGCAAAGCATAGATAAGAATATGGGTGAATTTAATTTTAAGAGTTAGCTAGTAACAAGCCTGAGCTATTGACCTAATATTTGTAATAAATATAAAGCTTCTGAGTGTCTATTTGAGATTGGCTGTGGGACAAGAAAATTCTACCTACAGCCATGTAATTAATGTTTTCATTGAATGTGTTATTTGAACTCCTCTTGGGGACATGATACTCTGATAGGCATTGAAGAGCTAGAGGTGAATAATATTCTACTCCCTAGACACTTGAAGCTGGTAGGAAAAGACATCCAGGAAACCAAATAATCAGGATGCAGTGTGGTTAGTGCAGTAAAGAGAGACTGTCCGTTGTGTAGATTTTTCTTCCAAATGGAAACAGTCTGTTAAGATGTAGGAAATAAACACAACTTAAAGTCTCAGGAAGCTTCTAAATTGTATAAACGTCACAAGGTCCTGCTCTAAGGTTATATAAGCAGTAATGATTGCCAGGGAGAAGGAACTCTTGAACAGGTAAGCTCCATGCAACTCATGGCAGGAGCTCCAAGGATTCAGCTTTCATAGATCGTCACCCAGGCTACATGGGCTTTTGGTAATGGTAATGTCTTTGAGTCATCCTGGCTTCTGTAAAAAGAAAAATCCCTCATTCACACTCCTGTAAATAACTCCAATAACCTCACTGGTTCACTAAGCTAAACTTGTATGTACTCCTTACTTTGTTCTGTCATCAGTGCCCTATCTAGGTGAGCAGTTGTTTGTGTCTTTCCCAGGAAAAGTCCCAGCATATGTTTGAACTGGGGAGACCAAGGAGGGACAAATCAGCTTCCTGGTAGGTAGGTAAAAGTGGTAAGAAAATAGGTGATTCTGGAAAAAAAATAATGTTGAATCAATTAGTCCATTTTCTGATGTAAACAACAAAACATTAAAGCTGTATAAGTCATGAAGAAAAGATCTCTGGTTTGTCACACTAGTCCAAGGCTAAGAGCTGCCTCTATAATGACCTTCATGGTCACAGAGTCCTGAGTCACTGAAGCATATAAGAAACAACATATGCCCTCCTCCTCTTTATAAGGCCACCAAGATTCAGTTATGGAGGCACGTCTCAGATGACTTTATGCACCCTCACCACCTCCTAAAGGTCCCCCTCTACACACCACAGCTGGAGCATCTCCTCTTTCTTAATAGATACATTAGTGAGTTTTGGAGAGGGCAGATGGCAGCTAACACATAGCAGATGCTCTGAGGCCCCAAAGGGTCCCTTTCGTCTCTTCCTTGCAGAAAACACCAGCCACACTCACAGAATCTCACTGGCATATTCCTTTGCTACTTAAGCAAGTCCCCAAAATAAAATAAATG